TTGCAGACACCAAAAAATAGCATTGCAGCTTTATTCAGCATTGGACACTGTCTTCTTTAAAAGTGAAACTCAAATCAGACGCCATAAATGGAAAAGAATAAATGATAATCAAAAAAATCACTATATTGATATTTATTATACTCCAGTCTATGACTATAAATATTTATACACCTCATATTTAAGTATGCAGTACTTGATTTTTCTATGGCTGTAACATCTCACATCTATTAGTCAAAAGTGGTGGTATGACTATTTCTGAATAAGACAAAATTATGATTAAGGTGTTATAGGTGTGTACTAAGTAGTTTATTTTTTTATTTTATTTAATAAATCTTCAAGTGCAGTTAATTATTTGTCATTCTATAATAGTAGCTATAATACATGTATTTCACTTCTTACAATACAGTAGGTAAGTAGGCGGTTTTGGATGCAGTCCTGCTCTCTTGTTTGCCATCAAATGATTGAGCACTGCCGTGTGTGTACGTGTCCTGTCGCAAAATGCGGTGAAACTCCCACACGACATTAATTGTGTGATTAAGGTGTGTACATGTCTGTAATGCACATCGATAACGCGACTAAAACGGAATAGTCCACGTCTTAATATGATTTGTGTTTACTTCATGTATGATTTTAGTCAGATTAAGGTCAACAATAATCGCTGTCTACATGTTAGTTTCTTAATCAGAGTATCGTCTTAATCGGGTTAATATCGGAATACTGTTGTCCATGTAAACGTACTGACTGACCTGCGCTGAATCAACCTACAGTGCATAGAAACCCAATTTTAAAATATCTCGTGTTGTAATGGGTGTGTTGGTGAGTCTGCATTTCTAGGTGGGTTTTGTTTTCCTAACCAGGAGACAGAAAACAATAGGATTCTGTGATATTAAAAAAAAATTAATAAATAAAAACAGGGTTAGTTGTGTCAGAATATAAAAGGTAAGCAATAAAACAAAATCCAGGACTAAATAAATAGGCACACTGGAGTGACAGCTCCTTTAATTTCACCCTGCGTTAGTTAGAAGATGCAGCTGACAGCCCGGAAGCAAGTGATACTGTATCGATATACCCCTCATGTCTGACTGGTAAGCGAAGCGAAGGCAGCTCTGCCTCATATTTACCCTCAGCTCATGGCGTCCTCTGGGATTTCAGTTGCTACGGACTGCCAGGGATCAGAGACGCTCAAGCTTAAAGAGATACTTCGCTCGGGAAAGAAATCTGTTTACGGCCTGTGGTGCAAATTTACTAAATCATAGACAACAAACATTATGTGGCACTGTGTGCATACAAAGGGAAAATTGCAAATTACGATAACCCGTACTCTCTCAACAGGATGCAAACCACACCTGAAATAATCTGTGTCTGAGAGAAAATTCCGGCCTTCTGGATAAGAGATCGCGCCACGTCTCTAAACAATCTTAATGTGCGTTGTTCTCGGTATCTTTAAGTGTCTGACCTTTTGACCGGAGATAAAGACCTTTTTATTAAAAAAAAGTGCTGGGAATGTCGCGACCGGGCCTGCTTATCCGGACACGGATTAAACCACGCTTAATCTTTTCAACAAAGAATCATTTAATCCGGGACAAGCTGTAACCCCTGCAGGAACAGAGTCGGCCTGAGCAGCGTGTCGTTCCTGTTAATTACTTTTAGTAATAGCAATAAAAAAAAAAGGACAAGCCTCAAACAGAATGCAGGTTTTATTCTGTGCTGAAGGAGCTGAATCTCTACAGCGAGAGGTTACTGAAGCGTTTCTGTGATTTTCTGTGAAATCCTCTCCTCCCGAGCTGCGCTTCCGGCTCGGGTCCGCTGCACTCCGGATAATTCCGTTAGCCAAGCAGTTAACTCCGAGATGGAGGCCATCGCTCCATTCCTTCCTTTAAACTACTCTGTCACTTCAAGCTAACCAAGGCTGATCGGCTTAGTGTCACTTAATCGGGACATGACAGTGAACGAGCGAGTGTCAGGAACGCAATGCAGACATCTGAAGGTCATCAGGAAAAATGGTACGATCCAGAAATTCATTACCAAGATCTGAAATTTTGTCAAAAATGTATATTTCTCACACAAGATGAAATGTGGGAGAGAAAAACAATTTATACGCAGAGTTGTGGCCTTTGTGCCTGTGTCAGTCATATGCAAAAGTTTGCACACCTTAAGCCTTAATGACGACAGCGACTGTCATTTATTCATAGCAAGAATTCCAGAATTTGCAAGCACATTATTGTACATAAAAAATAAGTCATTTACTCATAGTGAAAAAATAAATATCATCTCCTCCTAAAGTTTGTAACCCCCCATTCTGAATGTAATAGAAATATTGTCTAATAACTTCTAAACACACGCCTTTGTCTTCTGACGTCTTTACTCAGTTTTAACATAGATCTAGCTCTGATATTGGTTTTGTAAAAAAGATTAATTGCAAAAGATCTTTTGGGAAATTTTGCGCGTTTGATGAACGAATAGTTTTGAATGTATGTTCTGAAGTAAAATTTGGGGTTGTTGCAGAGTTCACCTAAAAAATTTCACCATGTAACTTCTTGCAATTATTTTGATTCATTCAACTTCAATATTTGCTTTATACTGGTCAAGGTCACACTGGATTCCAGGAACACTGGGTGTGAGGCGGGATAACAGATTGTACCGGACACCTGTCCGGCACAGGGCACCACGTCCGCATGTAAACATTCACACCTAGGGCCGATGTAGAACATAGAACAGCTAATCCAGCTACTGGCATGTTTTGGGGAGAACCTGGAGGAAATCCACACAGACACGAGGAAAACAGACAGAAACCTGATTGAACTCTGCGCCTAAATTGTAATTGAAATACAGCATATAAAATGTTCTCGTATTTAAATAAATAAATGCATCAGCTGAAATATATAAGGAAATTATTATTGTTTGGTCAAAACTCACCAAGTGGCATGGTGTATAAAAAATTCAGATCTACTTGCTCATGGGACACTGAAGCAGATGTCTGACATTTACCTATCATTAAAAAAAAATCTGTTTACAGAAACAAACCCCAACTGTCCCTCACCTTGGTGCGTGGGAAGTCGATTCGGATGCAGCTCGCACGCTTGATTTTTTTTTGCACACTGAGACGGACACACACGGAGGCACAATTAAAAACGCTCCGGAGACTTTGGTGTTGATTGTTTCTGTGTCGTGGCATAGAGGATGGAAATCCTCAGCTACAGATAAGACATCAATCCTCCTCAGTGGGATGCGCAAATAAATCTGATTAGGGGCGGAATGATTTCCCCTTCAGGATTGTTTTATCTCTTCCCTCCATGCCTCGGCAGCAGATAACTGTGAAAACTCTCTCTCTCTCTCACACACACACACACACATACACACACACACACACACACACAGACACACACACACACCTCGGAGATGGCAGCAGCTCGAGTGATGTCATATTTGGCAAACAGGAACGTGTCAATCATAGACAGGGCGCTTCACAAAGCTCGACGAGAGAGATTTGATTTGTTTCCCCGCAAATCCGAACTCTTCGGCATTTGAATACAGATGAGCATTTTTGTTCCTTAGGGTGGTCATCTTTTGATTTGATCTGATATCTCATTACAAATGCACATAATAAAAGAAGCATCTCTGCATTTTCATAAAAGCGCTCCATGGAGATGAGCTCACACACACACACACACACACACACACACACACGCACGCACACGCACGCACACGCACGCACACGCACGCACACGCACACAAGTGCAACCCGGATGATTTCAATGCATGCAAACAAACACTATGACAAAGCAGTGTAGATAAAAGACTAATTTGTCACGATTTCACCTCAGGGAATCCAGGGGTGGCACCACTACTCTAAAAGTACTCAAATTTTTTTTGTCTGAGAGAAGAGATACTTTTCAATCATTTGTCTATAATAAAAACATAAAGTAATGTGTGTGTGTGTATATATATATATATATATATATATTTGTTTCTTCGTTATATCATCTTAGTGAGTTTTTCCTTGCCCCTGTTGCCACCAGCTTGCTCAATAGGGATATATTCATACACTTAAAATCTGTATCCTGTGTTTATATGTTTCTGTAAATCTGCTTTGAGACAATGTCCATTGTTAAACGCGCTATACAAATAAAATTTAATTGAATTGCTATGGAGCCAGGGTCTGATAATAATACAATAACAGGGCACAACGCCACCTTTTAATGAACGTCAGCATAGTTTAGTTTGACCTCACACCCATCACTTTGCATTTAACTCCTCGTGCAGCTAATACCAGCAACAAAATTCATACACAAGGTCATATAACACTAATTCTAAAAGATGTTTTAAAAAGTGAAGACATGTTCATGTTCCGCAGTAGGCTGTTTGTCGCTGTCAGTTTCACTAAACATTTTCCCAGCAAGCCTTTCTTACTTTACTTGAAGGATGTCATTTGATCAATTCAGAATACAGAATATGTGCGTATGTCACTTAAAATACTGAAACATTAGCGATACTGACTCAACACACATTTATTAAGCAGTAGTGAGCACTAAAGTGCGGTTAACCCTTTATCGCTCATAGGAGATTTCCCTTTAGTATAAATGTCTGTGTCCCTCGACCCCACCCCTCCCACCCAAGCTTAATTGACTGCTTTTTCAACCATGTCAGACCTGTCTGTTTATGCCTGAAGTGCTGGTTCACTACCCCAGTAGTTTGAAAAGTGCTGGGTCAAATACCAGCTCACCCCCGGTTGCTCCGTTGGCTGTGCAGAATTCCAATAACAAACAAACCAAAAAATAATAATAATAATACACTCCGGATACACTCAGATTTAAAAGACAAAAAAAAAAAAAGATTAAATGATAATGAGTCTTTATTGGTCACATTTACAGTAAGCACAATAAAAATTTTTCTTTGTGTACCCCAGCCTGTCAGGAACCTTGGGTGAGAGTGCAGGGTCAGCCATGATACAGCACCCCTAGAACAGAGAGGGTTAAGTCCCTTGTTCAAGGGCCCAACAGTGGCAGTGCTGGGGCTTGAATCCCCAACCTTTCGATCAGTAACCCAAAGCCTTAACCGATAAGCCACCACTGCCCCTAAAGATCTGAAATCATGAGAAACAGCAGTGATGTCGTGCGGTCACACATCCTGTCACCATTCACCATCAACATCCACTCAATAAAGCATAAGGGGGAAAAAAGCAGAATTCATTAAAAAAAAAACACAAAAAAAACTCTGAGATGAACATGTTGTGTAGTGAGACACATAAATCAGGAAAGACATTTCAAAACCAAGCTGCCGATACTCCTTAAAAAGAAAGAAAGAAATAAAACTCTCAAATCTGAATTAGTCACACTCTTATTTCAGGTGCTGCATTGTCTGGCGGTGATGCAGTGACAGGAAAAATGCTTGCACTGCTCCACGCTTTATAACGCTACTGAATAAGATTTGAAGTGAAGCAGCCCATAGGGTCCTGCTGCAGAATAGCTAGATGATGTGCTCTGACAACTGGGGTAAAAGAGTAAACGTTCTCCACCTCGGAAAGCATGCAGCACTACAAAAGCACTCTCTCTCCGATCGGCTACGCAGGCAAACAGACATGGCATGAGTGACGGTGGATGTTGGAGGTGCAAAGCTTCACTTATTCGAATCAATATTTATGATACAATGGATTGTGAGTGAATTGATATAGATGTCTAAAGGCTGATATCTCAGACGCAGCTCTTTTTATTACCACTGTGCTATTACTTCAATATTTACTATTTAATATTACTTTTATTATATATTTTAATGCTAATATTTCATATACATGAACTATACATAAATTCAATAAGGCATTGTGTGTTTCTCTCCTTTATTAAGGAGGTGTGGCTTATATGCCTGTCAGTTACAGTGAAGGAGGTGTAGCTTTGGAGCTGGTCAATCAGTGTGAAATAGGCGTAGCCTATGCAGTTGTCACTTACTGCAAAGGAAGTGTGACCTATACGGCTGCCATTCACAGTAAAAGAGGCGTGGCCTCTGTGCCTGTCAACTACAGTAAAAGAGGTGTAGCTTTTGTGCCTGTCAATTCAATGTCCGTGAAACAGGCGTGGCTTATGCACTTGTCAATTAGAGTGAAGGCGGCATGGCCTATGCACCTGTCATTTAGTGTAAAGGAGGTGTGGCCTATGCACTTGTCATTCACAGCGAAGGAGCCATGGCCTATGCTCTATGCCTATGCATTTTTTGCATAACACTGTATCAAACTGTGATTCAGATTCAAAGTCAAATTGTCAATCGCGTGTCAAACAGCTTCAAACTGTACTGCGTTGAATCTGTAGCTGCTCTACATATGTATATCTTTTATACTGTTAAAATTGTTGATCACTTAAAGTATAAACACACACCAATGGTGACTAAGAGTGTGTCTACATCATGTCGGAATTGCAGTAAATACGAGCTTCCGACCTTTAACCAGCGTTAAAGGTAAATCTAATAGTTACTAATTGTGAGCTTGAAATTTTCCGAAAGCTTTGACTTCTGAAAGTGTGTGACATCATGTATCAAATAAACACGGCTATAAAGCAGGCAAAAATGTCCACAGTTGAAGTAATTTCGAGTGTAATGTTGGTATTTAACTCTATATTTGTCAATCAATCATTGTCTTTCAGCGTTTAGCATTGACTGCACAACATAGTACAAGACTTTAAGGTGTTTTGTTCATTACCATACAAACAAATAATTTCTACATCTGAATAGAACATACAAGCTGTCGTCTCATAATTACGGCAATTGTGACTTGACATGACTATGACATGGGCTTCCACTGGCCCTCTTACAGCATTTCTAACGGAAAAAAACCACTTCAGATGAGATCTGTACGATGCACTGATGACCACCAATTGGTCAGCTCATATGCTCATATGATTTACTGTGGTTAAATGGAGAATGTGATAAAATACAAATATACGTATAAGTAGTCACCTCAAAACCCAGTTTTACCCGGACTTAGGTTTTATATATATATATATATATTTGTGTGTGTGTGTGTGTGTGTGTGTATATATATATATATACACACACACACACAGACATATGTAACCATGACGCCAAGTGTTTTATTCCGTACATATTACATCTAAACAAATCTTTAAATTTCTTTCATTATTATTATTTTTTAATTATTAAAAATTTGTATGAATTCCAATGAGTGATGGTGATCTGTTTGGATTTTGTTACATTTTTAATCATATTATGTTGGTAACCCTTCCCCTAATCGGCAAACAACCTATAATTTTACCCTTGACATCTTCAAATTCGAATTGAAATGAAGTCTTACTGTATAAAATAAAATTTCCTAGCTTCATTTTGCAGTACATTTTACTTTTAAATGCTTAAGCACTTTCAAGCATGGACATTTCTAAGCTTTCACACCCATACAATTGTGACTTGCTAGTAGTATTTGGAAACTATGTTCATGAAATCGTTGCCATGTCACAAATATCTGTCCAGAAATAGATCCATTCCATTTAAAAATAAATAAATAAATTCCTGGTTTATAAACCTTAAATTTAAACCATGATGGCACCTGCATTAGTCATCGAGCTTACCGATATAAAAAAAATAAAAGAATAAAAATATTTGGAAAGAAAAAAGATAAGCAGGTTTCCTCGTCCTCTCAGTAAGGAGATGAGGATTACACTGGCAAACCTTCTGATGGTTCACTGGAAGGAGTCTAAAATCTCCACAGCACAGTAAGGTGTAGCGAGGAAGATTATTTCCCCCTGCTGAAACCCCTCATCTCCTTGATTAGATGCAATGCCAGGCCTGAGAACACAGCGAGAGACAACAGGCGAGAGGCAGGGTGAGTGACGGAGAGAGAAAAAGAATGGCAGCGTTCATCATCAGCTCCACTCTGACCTCTTGTGAGGTATGAAAACGGAGTAATGAAAAGCCTATCGATTGCCGTCTCTTCCGTTTAAACAAATCTCCTTCACCGTCCACAGGGTTTAGGAGCCAATTTATGCGCATCACCTGGACAGAATCGAGTGCTGCGGAATCTCCGGGACAACAAAATACAATGCAGGAACCACACACTGGCTTCAAAACCCATAAGTCATCTGGGATTCAGTTTCTCTCTCTGATTATATTGGCCAGTGCAATTGGTAAAATATGAATTGGCAGAGTTAAGGCAATGGATAAGATAAACCAAATAATACGCTCTGGATTTTCAATTCAAATAGATTTTGCCGTATAAATAGCTCAGAATAAGACCACAAGCCAATATACAAGAAGTATTACAAGAACTAGTAGTAATGAGTAATGCTTTACATTCAGTGTTGGTTACATACAGCGTTAGTTAACATACATTTTAGACATTGTTTAAGGCACCACTTATTCAGCAAATGAACAGGAAGTTTAATCCTGTTGCCACATTACATTTAACTAAACCTTCAGTCAAAAGATTCAGTTGAATCTTGAGTAAATTTTCTAATTAACAGCACAGCATAACATAAATAGATTCTGATAAATAAAATCCTTCCTTAAATGCAAAGGTTAAATGCTAGTATTCACTTCAAAGGTAGGGGAAAAAGTGTTGATAATGATAAAAATGAATCCATCCATTTTCTACACCACATATCCAACACAGGTTCTCAGTGTGCCTGGAGCCTATCCCAGGGAACTTGGGGGACAATGCTGGGGACACCCTGGACAGGGTGCCAACCCATCGCTCTGCACACACAGGGAGGAGGGGGGATTTATATACCCAACTCTGGAGGTGTGAGGCAAATGTGCTAACCGCTAAGGTAAGTGAACACCTGTTTACAGCTGCTGTAAGGCAAGTGATAACAGGAGGTAACTTGTTTTGAGTAACTATAAAACGTAACTATAAATTAATAAAAAAGTACAATGTTTCATTCTTTACTTAGTAAATAATTTTAATTGTTGTAATTATAAACTGCTGTGGTATAAGAGGACTCAAGCGCCTGTGTGCTCTTATTGGAAAATAATTACATTTCTGTGGGTTTATTTCCATTTAGTACAGATCCATGGTTAAATGATGTAATGCCCATGCATATGACTGTGTATTTGACTATAAATAGATGAACAAATGTTTCTGGTAGTTTGGAAAGTAAAAATCAAGTGAACATGTCCTGTTGTGGTACACAGTCACTCAGTTAATTTCCAAGTAGAACTTTTATAGGGACACATTTTAGATTCTCTGAATCCTCAACTCCTCAAGCCTGAGTGAGAGTTTCGGAGATGAGCGCATCCCTGAGAGAGCGAGAGAGAGAGAGAGAGAGAGAGAGAGAGAGAGAGAGGGTTGAATTCAGCTGAAGAAATTGAGGGGGCAGGAAGGAGAGAGTGAGCGTGTGAGAGATAGGACACAAAAGAAAGACAGACCATTAGACATCGTACACCAAGAGAGAGGTAAGATTGACGCGCACTTCTGACAACCATCTCACCCGGCACTGGCCTTGCTACATTTCTAAATTAAAGATGGAGAGATACCAGCAAAGGGACAGTTTCTGGAACCGACCGGGTGCTGGGGTGATTTATCAGACGATCTGCTTCGCCCCTAGAGGTCAAGAGTCACTACAATTATGTCCCTGTTATTACTGCGCTGTTTAATCAGGACGTGTTTCAGTTTCAGAGACTTGTCCGCTTACTACAGTGTTACTTTTAGATCCTCCACAGTGGTGACTGGTCCATAGGGGCAGATATCTGAGAGCCCCACAATTGGTATTAGCCAATCAACAAATGTTAAACTTCACAAAGTCGTCATTCACAAAACCATATCTTTAAAATTAAATAATTTTTTATGCTATCAGCAGTTAAAAAGAACCTTTTTGCTGTTTTAGAGATGTAAGCCAATGTTCCATTGATTTGCTCATCTTTCAGAAGATTTCGAGCTCAATCATAATGCAACGCACTCACTGCTCCAGTTAGCTTCATAAAGTTAATATTGTATCCGAGTGGTCAAAAATGGGAACTGTAACAAGCACTAATGGACAGTCCCACCAGTATTTCACGATGTTGCAATCACAGAAATGAACATAAAATCAAGCAAACTCCGCAATATTCAGAGGAGCTTGCAATTTTTCAAAATTACCG